CCACTCTGCCGGACAGCATTCATTAATTTACGAATCGAACCATTCATCTCCTGCGCGTTTTTTTTCAAAATTCAAATGCAAAAATCCATTGATCATCGGTACGCTTAAGATAGCCAGCAGCAGCAGTATGATATTGGACCACATTACCTGGTTATGTTTAACGACAACGTACAAACTGGTATCCAGGATTTTTTCACTGTACGGATAAATATTTAAATGGTATTTGCCGGCTGGTATGCCCGTTAATAACGCGCTGCTGTTTTCACTGCCTTCCGACCAGCTTTCACCATCATCAACCCCTGAATAAGATTCCAGCGTTTTAGAAAAATCATAGGTACTGCCGTTGTTATCATTAATAAGACTGACGGAGGTTTCCAGCCATTCGTTATTCAGCCTGGCTTGCAGCTCCACTTCCACACTTCCCTTCGTGGGCAGCTCAAAGGGAACGGTAACAACCGGCTTCAGGTTTCCCTTTGCCGCCGAGTCGGGCTGCAGCGGATATGATTCGAGGAGCGCTATACTATTGGGCCGGATACGTGAAAATACCATTCCGGTAATGATCACCAGCACAAACATGATCACAGCAAACAGGCTCAGCCATCCTCTATTGGCCGTATAAGGGGATGGCTCAATGACGCCTACGCCCACCCGCTTTGGCAATGACCTTCTGCGAAGACTGAAAGCCGTTTCAATATCTGAAGGCACCAGGTAACGCCCATGATACCAGGTATCCACTCCTTTCAGCCGCTCGTTGATCACCATTTGCGGAGGTGCCGTGTACTCCCAGGTATGCATCTTCTCATTGAGCAGTATATTTTCATCAAACGCGCCTGCGGCAAAAAGAATGTCAAATGTATAGCTATGGTAAAGGTTATAGTTTGTCTCTTTATAACCGGCAACGTGCAACTGGTAGGTAATTTTCCGGACCACAGGCGTTTCTGTAACCGGTTTTACCAACATCCAGTGACCTGAAAAATCAACCAATGTCACATAACCATGGTCTTTGTTATACAGCATGTATTCATTCCAAAGCACCGGGTAGCCATCCTCATATTCCCGCTTCTTCATAAAGCCGGTGACTACATAACTCACCTCATCCAGTACGCCGATGCTGCCCAATGGCAGGTCTGGTACACACTCCTGTTCATAACTGAAAGAGCGTAACAGTTCTTTATGCCCCTGCGGGTTTGCAGCAAAAAATGTTTTACAATGGGCACAGCCGAACCATGCGGCATCAGCCCCATTATAATATTCAACCGGCTGGCGGCATAATACAC